CCCCCTTTCTACCCCACCTTCCCTCCACCTTCCCAATATCAGCACTGTCACCACTTGTCTTGAGGGGTTTATCTGTCCTGGATTGCCTGTGTTTCCAGCTCTTATCTGTACCAATGTTCACCCTCTGGCCTAGACGGATTTATATGGTAAAATTGGGATCATGATAGTGGGAGGAGGAAGCATTTAAGAACTAGAGGAAAGTTGTATATTTCATCGTTGCTGCACTGCACCCTGACTGGCTCATCTCTTCCCCATGACCCTGCTGTAAGGGGATGTCCAGTAGACTACAAACGGGCTTTGGGTCCCGACTCCACATGCCCCTCATTGACAATGATATGATTTTTTTCCCCTTGATACCTCATACCTGATCCCTTCAATGCCTCATGATCACACAGGCTGATGTATTTCTTCCATGTGGGCTTTGTTGCTTCTGAGCTAGATGGCCGCTTTTTACCTTCAAGCTTTTAAGACCCCAAATGCTATATCATTTGATAGCCGGGCACCATCAGCTTTCTTCATCACACATGCTTATGCATCCATTTGTCTTCATTGATCTTATTGGGAAGGTGAGCACACAATGATATGATTTTTTTTCTTCTTTGATGGCTGAAACCTGATCCCTTTGATACTTTGTGATCACACAAACCGGTGTGTTTCTTCCATGTGGACTTGGTTGCTTCTCATCTAGATGGCCACGTGTTTACCTTCAAGCCTTTAAGACCCTAGATGCTATATCTTTTGATAGCGGGGTACCATCATCAGCTTTCTTTGCCACATTTGCTTATGTACCCACTTTGTCTTCATGGATCATGTCGTAAAGGTGAGCATCATGGAATGCCAGTTTAATAGAACAAATTGTTCTTGCATCGAGGGAGTACTTGAGTGGAGGCCCAATGTCCATCTGCTACCTCAATACTAAACCTATAAATATATGCACATAGATCGATTTCCCCTTCATCATATGTAAATATATGTACATATGTACATATGTAATGTATATGTACATTATATAAATATAAATGCCCTTTGCTTCCTAGTTCTTTCCTCTATTTCCTTTTACTTTCCTCTTCTCCCACTATCATGCTTAGTCTTCATTTGGGTTTCAGTAATTCCTCTTGGTTACATTGCCCTTGATCAAGCCCTATCAGGCCTCCTGTACTCTCTTCGCCACTGATTTTGGATCACTTGTTGTTCCCTTGTCCCTGGGTTTGTTAACACCCACTTCCTTTCTCCCACCTCTCGCTCTCCCATGTCCCTCCAGAACCATGGGTCCCGTTGTTTTCTCCTCCAGATTGTTTATCCTTCCTATGTTATTTAGATACACCTGCAGAGATAATAATATGCACAAAAACAAGACAGCAAAACAAAGCAACAAAATAAAACAAAAAAAACAATTACAAAAAAAAGCCTGTAAATAGTTCAAG